ATTTGTTACTGTTTTTTATTGATCAACACTGTAGTTTTTAGTGAAGAGAGATAAATATATGAAAAGAGAGAGACAAATATAAAAAATGAGTGAGAAGCAGTGGTGGCGAGAAAAAAAGAGTGGGATAGAAGGAGAGAGAAAGAGAGAGAGAGAGAGAGAGAGAGAGATAGAGCAATAAATACGCGAAATATATCCTCGCAAAGTATATTTTATTCGCGAGGGACATATGAATTGCCTATGGTGGCATGGCAGGAGGAAGGTACCAACGAATGTACATAAATCAAATCAGACAGATATAGTCATATAGAGGGACATTGGGCGCTGAAGATATTAGATATATGGATATGATATTCCATAAATTGACCGTTTTTCCGATGACGCCACGTACGTTGCTGAAAATGAAAATAATGACCATCGGTGACCGCAATTTGTCCTGCTGCAGAGCCAGTTTTGTTTTACACACATTCATATAAATGATAAGCTACAAAAACTTCCTGAATGGAAAAGGGTGCACTACAAAAATGTGCATTTTCAACTCATTTTCGGATGATTTCATATTTTAAAATATACATGTCACTAAAATAAATATATTGGTTTAAACAATCAATGTGATAAAAATATAATATAATGAAGCACATTGACATTAATCATATTATTTTTTTACTAAAACTTTAATGTAAAATAAATCAGTTAAAAAAATGTATAAACTAATACCTATATATATACTTGGTTCACTGCAATTTACATATTATTTAGGTACTATAAAGCAAAAGACAATGTAAACCTTACAAAACCATTTTGTTCTGTTTTTATATCAATAAAATTAATATACGTTCCTACATATAATTATAAGCACTTAAGTGTCATTCCCCAATCATACATAGGTACATACCAATACACTATACATATTATATATATGCATGCATAGTATCTACCTATAACATATATGCACACACAAAATCTGTTTGTAAAATAGGCACTAGTTTGTACTTTGTATAAAACACTCATACAAAACATAATTTGTGCCGGATAAAATGTGTGTGTAGATATCATGTTTGTGTCATTGTATATGTGTGTATTATCAATCAACCGGAAGAGCAGCAACACATTTAACTCCCAAGGGCGTAATCCGGTCATAGCATGAGATTCCAAAACGCGTACACCGTTTTAAGTGAACTCTGTTGCTCACTTACTCCATTTACAGTAAAATTGATCATTCTGACCGCGTAGGTATCCGTTTCATACAGCAAGAAAACGTTATTTTTTTTTACGTGCACTTAGATTGAAAATAATCACCCTAAATACGTGGGTCTAACTCGTGTGGCTAGAGGGTTGTTTTTTGGGTCAAGAAAATATCGTTGGATTACATTTTGTGGACTTTCAGTGAGTGGTAAGGGAAGATTAAGAATACGGCGACGGACACACGCCGTCGCTGCCACGCATTCTATATATCGGTCACAATATCCTGCACCACTACTCCGCTTGCCTACACCAGAACCTGCATCCTACCACGCGAGTCCGGGAGGGTGTAGTTGACAAGGATTATTTCGGGGATAAAAGACCGGAGGAGCGGAGAAAAAGAAGTTTAACAGTTAAATAAAAATATAGAAAGAAAGGGCATTAGTGAAAACTTGGCAACGGGACGGTTAAGACCTAACGCGGACGACGGTTTACGCACAAAGGTCGATACTTTCACCATATTGTCGACTGTCTATTTTCACGTCATCTAATACAGTTTTGGAGAGTAGATTATCTTTCTTTATTTTCTCAGACATATGATCAAACAGACACAATTTGCTTTTCGTGAAAAAATGACAGTAATGCAATATCATATTTRAAAACATAGTAAATTAAATATACCTAATATGGACTCATTCGATGATTAAATCACGGAATCGGTTATATGAGTTCAACTGTCGTTTAGTTATCGTTACAATTTAATTTATATTTATATTGTTGATAATAATAATATATATAAATAAGTGTTTCATAAAAGAAATACACTGAAAGGAGAAATGGCCATTTATTATTAAAAAGTATGAAATATGTTCAACTTTTTTAGCCTTTACGGATAATTTGAAATTTATAAACAGAAATAAGTTATTTGCGCCAAACGAGAAAGCTTTACGAGTAAAAAAAAAGATGTGCTAAAATACTGTACCGAGTCAATAACTTTATTTAAATATTTATTAAAAATAATACGAATTTTAAATTGAATGAAATTGAAAATGATTTCCATTTATTTGTTTTGAAAATTAAGTCATCCCTAAATCAACTGCGTTTGTATTATTAACTTATCAGTGTTCAGAAAAATAAAAACTGTATCCACTCAAAAAATTTCAATATTGATTTAACTCTCTATCATGATTTTTTGTTGTTTGTACAATATTTTCATATTAACAAGTAAAACGTATAAACTTCTTAACTTTAATAATTTAATATAACTAGTCAAATTACTCGTTCAATATTTAAGTCTATCGAAAACACAATATTGACAAACTTAGGCTGTGGAATTAGAGAAAACGTGCCAGATAATTAATACATTATTTGCGTGTTCATATATTTGCTTGGACATGATACATTATCAGGATTTTGCAATATGTATTTAATTGAGAACAGTTATCCTGAGGCGATCTCGATTTACTAAAGTGCATTGTTCGACATGTACTTTGATAGAACAATATGCAGCTAACATTGTCCATTCATTCAATCGTTATGGCATTATGACAAAGGTGGAAGATTGTATATTGTAAAAATAATGTACTCGAATCATTCAATAATATGATAGAGAATTTTAGAAATCTATGCAAGGGATTTCACGAGATAATTTTATAATTTTTTATTTGATCAACATTCATTGTGTAATTAAATTTTAATTAATTCAGAACATGTAAGCGTTTTAATTAAACATCCAAAATAAATTGTCAGGTGCAGCAAAAGCACTATTTGTTGCATATGCATTTACGAGTGGATATTTAAAAAAAATATAGTAACGAATACAATATGATAATTTTATTTATTTATGAACAACGACAAAAAACTTCTGTATTCGAGTATTAACAATTCTATTATGAAATAAATCTAAATCTGCATTCTAATTATTTTAGTATATAATATATATTATATTATAATATATATTATATATTATATAGATTGAATATAATATTAATAATATATACTCGTGTGAAAAAAATTAATTAAAAAATGTCCAATTCAAAACTATTGAAATATTTATACAACAATTGGGACTAACGATTTTTAAGGTTAGAACAATATATATTTCTACCGAAAGATTTGAAGAATAATTAATAGAAAAACATTTTATCGATCTATTTAGGGGTCAAATTATTTTGTTTTTTATTATTTCTAGGTAATTGTTTTCTGAGTTAAAAAAGAATAGAATTTTTAAGAACTTACGTTCTGATTATAATTTTTTGAAATTCTTTGGTTTTATTTTGCAATTTTGTAGAAATATGTTTTGCAGTTTTTCCGATGGTAGGAGCTTACATAGGTACCTATCTACTATTTACTTATAATCAAAATGTCTCGTGTACTCGCACGCAAGCAACATTCCTATTCTGATATTGACGTTGCACTTCTATACTACACTACTCTTGGGCCGTAATAAGGACGAAAGGTCTGAGAAACCTCTAGAACTCTCTTGAAGTTTCAATAAAACTATTTTTATACCATATATTCACATATATCTCAAGATGTAAATCTTAAAAATAAACCACCCATATTAATTTAATTAAAAAAGTTGTGCATATAGTGATATGTATATGGAATTTGTTATTATGAAACGCAGCTTTCCGACGCAATTCACTATATTTTCAAAGGTACCCATATATATATATATATATATTATTACAGGGATGGCCAGTATTTAAACTATTTTAAATAGTACTATAMATATAGACTTTCTAAATCTAATACCTATTAACGTTTGTATTCAATAAATAGTTGTTCTACAGCGTGCTGCAGTATCCATATGATTGTCTAAATATTTTTCTTAATGCCTGTAAAAATGGACTTGTTAATTTGTTTTAAAATCTACAATGTGCTTTTCGAGACAGTCTACAACAGTAAATTTATTTTTTTTATCAATATTCATAATATTATAAAAAGTAGTATGGAACTTATAACTAACGATGCTACTACAAACACCACTACTAATACTACTACTTCCACAACCACCACTACTACTACTATTACTGCTTTTTTTTTTTTATCTGAATTGTCGAACCGGGGGAGGACTGCTTATGCTTTGCTTTCCCGCCGGTCCGTCTTCGTTTATTTACAATTACTTGACAATGTTACTTAATAGATTTACAGCTAGTGTGGTATTTACATTATGATATAATAATTGATTATGATACAATTTTTKTTCTGATTTCGCCCTATGCCTGATCCCTTTGCCCCTGTTGGTCCTCTTTATCTATGATGCCCATGATCCGTGTTATGTGTTGCTCCACTGCGTGCCAATTTTCCCGGCTATATAGCATGATGTTGACTATAGTCTCTGTTTTTACTACCTCACCCACTACTATTACTACTACTACTACTCTTACTACTACTACTACTACTACTACTACTTTTTTTTTTTTTATCTTGGTATCGTCGAACCGGGGGAGTACTGCCTCTGCTCTGCATTCCCGCCGGTCCGCTATCATTTATTGGTATAAAAACTACTACTACTACTACTACTATTACTACTACTATTACTATTACTACATAGGTACTATTATTACTTACTACGCGACGACGACCCGGCGAGTCTCGGCGGCGGTGGCAGCGGCGTCGTTGTCGTCGTTAAGACTCGGGGGTATGGTGAAAGCTCGCGGGTGGTCGGGTCGGCGGCGTGGTTGTTTCTCGGACCCAGCCGGTTGGAATAGCCGGGAAAGCGCATGCGTCGATCCACGCCCTTGCTCCGGTCCAGCAGCCGGCAAATCCCCGCCGACGACGCTGCAGTCGCGCGCGCGTCGCCAGTGCTGCGCACTCTTTTGTAACGTACACACGCCGCGTACGACGCACACCGCCGAAGTGAAACGCCTTTTTAGCCGCGCGAGTTTTCGCACACGCCGTGTCCCTGCGATCACAGCTCAGTCGATACAATCAAGCGAATGCGGCAGGTTTCTTCTTGGATCTTAATTTTATTTCCTCCCGATGTATATTTCAAACACTTTATTGTCATATTATTATAAATAACGATATACCGATTACGTATTACCGTACTGATATTGACAACGATCATCACGAATAAACGCGAATCGAAAATATTATAACGCATTCGCTGACGAATCGAAAACAACGCCACATCGGCCGCTTGCACGCGGCTCCAAAAATCGTCGCCGCCCATGTTGTACCAGAGCGGTCGCCGCGACCAGGCGACGGCCCGCGACGTTTCGCCGGCGACGACGACAACGACGACGCCGCCGCCACCGCCGCACCCGGTCGTGCACATATGTTACAACCGCGACCGACCCGGAACCGACTTCCGCTCGTCGTCCCATCGTCATCACGTGAGTACTCGGTGACTCGGTAACCGCAGAAGCAATAACACACCGGCGATATTGCTCAAGCTGCATCGGCTTCTATTAGTACTCTATCTGTGTCTTGGGGTAAGCATGGCCAATGTCAAATTTCAATGAATTTGGGATGATATTTGACCAATATTATTAATATTCGATTTCCTATGTGTTTGTATTGAAATGACCAATATTTCTAATCCTGAAAATATACCCTTCTTGCACCAAGTCACAGATACCATATATTTACAAAATGACAAGTGGTCCAACCGTGCCAATTTTAACCGAAACCGAGTGATTCCGTCACGCTGCCGACACGACCCCAATAAGTCTTCAGTCATTGTTGGTATAAGCCTTAGACTGTACCAGGTCTATGCCACTTTAATAAAGTAACAACTAACCATTAACCAATATATGCATTAACACTGCACGCGTGTATATAAAACCCAGGGTTTTGAATTGAATTCACAATTTACAAAAATTTAAGTCAGCCACGAGAAACACATAATATTTAAATAATAACTAGGAATGTATTCGGTTTGAATTAACTTAATTTTACCAAAATTAATAGCTCATCGTAATATGACGAATTCACATATCGACAGTTTAGGGGAGCGAGGTGGGTAGTAAAATTACCAGTTTCGAAATAATTCCTCACGGCAATCGTATTGTGTAATATCTCCTATATAGCTGCACCTAATCGCCAATTATACCTGCAGATAGTAAAATTGGTATTCGACAAGCAGTATCGCAACTATTTTTGACCGGTGGACCGGTGGAAATTAATTAGGTGTGATTGTTTGAAAAAATGTATGACTAACAGATGTAAGTGCCGATCTAAAAATGTATTGTACTACTTGAGATGCCACAGTATTCAACCTGTACAAATAAATAATTTTATAATAAAATTAATTTAATTATAACAAAAATTATAAACTAGTAATTAATGTACCTAGTACCTATAATATACGAACACTGTAGTACGTAAGTAATATGTAATAATAATATAAATATGTTTTCATAATATATAGCAATAATAAAAATGTGTGTATCTAATATTCTAATCATTAATGTATTACATTATAATATATACTTTAATAGTAATTAATAGCATACCTAATTGGTAAAATATTTTGGACTTTTACTACTGTTGATTGCTTATCCTAAGATTTACAAATCTCGTCTGTAAAAGTCCGATCTACATAAATTATCCGGAGTTTGACCAAATAATTTTGTGTTTCTTTTAGGTTTTACAAACAGTAGTCAGCGAAGCCTAGGATTTTCCAGTAAATCCTATATTAGAGGCAAAGTGTATTGTCGAGTCAGGATAAGGTTTACAGAATAAACAAAATACTCGACCGATTTTTTCGATTTAAGGAAGGTTAGGATAATTAATTGAACTCGCTATTTTAAGTTGTCTTACCCGTTATTAATAATATTAAAATCTTAATCGTATAGGTATTCGTTTATTTCTGCTTGAAATTCGTTCACGTAAGAAAATTCGTTACTTTCCACCAATGATTAGGTTAGGTTAGGTTAGGTTAGGTGACCTAAACTTCCCATCTCGGCTAGTATTTGTATAAATATATATAATTATAAATTAATTTGGATGTCTGAGAAAAAAGTGTAGGTATGTCTAATAACGCTACTGCTGCTGTCCCCTACCGTTATCGTTTTAACATATAGGACACTCTCTAGCAGACTTCAACTCTCTGCATATAAAAGTACAAATATACGGTTCTAACTAGTCATCGAAATATTGTTGTACGTATCTATCGACCAGGATAATAATAATTATTGAGTAAAACACAATAATGAAATAATGTTCACACTTATTAGTTATTACACTATACAATATAATATATTATTAAAAAAATAGCTCTTGATATTAGTGTGGTAAAAATAATCGTCATATTATATACATATCTATTATATCGTATTATATTATTATTATTATTATTATTATTATTATTGTTTGTCGATAAATAAGATTATAAAAGTATACTGTATTTGACCATTTTCCTTTCTTTTCGTTTTGCAGATGACTATGGCGTCGTCAGAGGTCTAACAAGGAGTATGGGAAGAGAGGCATGGGCCTACGGCTGGACCAGAGACTATTTAGCAAAGTCACGGTAGTCTTCGCAGCTCTCGTTCTCTCGCTGTTCAACAGGGTCCTAGTCTCAAGTGAGTGGCAGAACTGAATTTGGGGGATTCAATTTTTTCGGATAAAATTTTAAACAC